TATGCCAATCCCAACAATAAAAGGTATGCTGTAACATATGAATAACTTGCTAAAAAAAAGGTAAAAATAAAAAATTGATGATAAATGAACATCTTATGTTCATTTTTCTTAACCCTATTTTTGACGAATTTTTGTCAAATTTGATATTCAGAATAGGATGAAGCACAGATACTTACTAGTTTTCTTCATTTGGAGAACTCGCAGCTTTAAAAATTTCAAGTACGATGGATGTTCCTTGTTGATTAAATTCTCTAGAATAATGACCAATCCAGTTTTGGATTGTGGTTACTTTGGGCACATGGTCCTATTTGATTATTCCAGAATACGCGAACCTCAACAGTTCCTCATGCATCTCCTTGGCTTTTATTTTATCATTGGGGTTTATGTTTCTATTTAAAAAAAATTGTTTTAAAAAATCTACAACATTTGCTTTAATTCTTTTTCCCCACCCTTTTTTCTGAATTTAGTATTTGTGGGAGATGCCCAACCTTTGGGCATTTGAAATGTTTCTTCAATGTTCCTAAAAAGAATCACACTAGTTAAATTCGAAATAATCTCAATAAATCATAACGATTTTACGAACCTTTCGCTAGTATTATCTGTTCTAACAGATTTTTGATAATAAATGAGTGCATTATGTTCATTCATTTCAGCTCCAATTCTATCGGAATCTCCTATTCTAGCAGAATTTTGATGATAAATGAATGCATTATGTTCATTCATTTCAGCTCCAATTCCATCGGAATCTTCTATTTTAGCAGAATTTTGATGATAAATGAATGCATTTTGTTTATGCATTTCAACTCTAATGCTACTGGAATTTCTCAATTTAGCAGATTTTTGGTGACAAATGAATGTATTTTGTTCATTCATTTTAACTCCAATTCCACTGGACTCCCTATTTTAGCAGATTTTTGAAAATTAATAAATGCTTGATGTTCATTCATTTTAGCTTCATTTTCTAAATAAATATTACAAAGTAAGTAAACAAATTATCATTTTATTTTTTAACTTAATCCAAATTCGA